ATATAAACATTTTCTGAATAGTTATGGAGCACACTCATTTAACTAAGGACGAGGAACCAGATGGTGGAAGAATGTACAAGAGATGATATTGATCCTTTTTCAAAAGAGTGTATTCGAAATGTGTAAGTGGAAATGATGCATAGTATAATTATCTAGCTCAAAGAGTTCATGAATTTCTAGAAAAGATGGCTAGCTAATTCAGCAAACGTCTCTGTTGATCTGCTTTTGACAGATTTCACATAATATGTTAGAGTCAAGCAAGGTATGGTAGTAAAAGAAAGGCAGTCACTGGGAGGCTAGTGAACAGAAAGGTTTTAGGCAGATTGGAAAGATTACCTGAAAAATCCCATAAAAAGAAGATATAAGCACATGTAAAAAATAGGAAAATATTTGAGAAATCTCAAGAGTACACCAAAGTTTGCTAGCTGAGGGAAATCAGCGAATTGAAAATAGAATATTGAAGTCTTATAGCAGGATTTCTTTCAAATGATCAACCAAACCCATACAAATTTGTCCACATCCTCATTCATATGTTTAACTTATTTTCTCTAGGCTTCTTATGTCCAAGGTAAATTCTCTTTAAAAACTCTAAGATTCCAACCATATCCTATATTCCGTATCTCAACTTTTGAGATTTCCCATTTAATAGCTAAGTTCAAAAACCTGAGGTAATAAGTCTCTACCTTCTGTATTTTCATTCTTCAATGAATGTACATGTATATTTATGCTTAAAGTCATTGTAATCTGAATTTTATCTAGGCTACTCAAGTGACATTGCTTACCCTAATGTCTCTTGTAGCCTCATAATTGTCAAATTCTGCAGACATATTTTCGTTCGTACCATATTGATTAATTCTGCTTGCATTTGCTACACTGAAAGCCCTAAAACCCACACTAGAAGTTTTAAAATCGCCCTTGATTCCTCTTGCCTTTGTCCCACATGTGTAATACAATGTGTTTGCTTCAAAAATGACCTCAGTATATGCCTTCCTCTCATTTATTTGTCCTTTAGTACAGGCCCTAATTATCTCTCACTTGAAGTCACTTTATCTCCCTGTCTGAATCCTTCTGTCAACTTCCTTACTCTCCAGGTTGCATGCTCCCAGTGGCAGCACACCTTTGTCCCACAAAGGTCAGGTTTTTAATGGATCATCTATAGTCCTCTGTGATCTGCCCTTACTGCTGTTCAGCTGCATGCCCACCTAATCTCCAAAACATCTTACACTATCATTACTCCCATTCCCCCTAAAAATAGTATATTCCAGTAACAACTACATTACTGAGTTGTGTGTGTGTGTGTGTGTGTGTGTGTATGTGTTTACATCCTCACTATTTTTGTTTTGCAGGTGTGGTTCTGGCTGTCTGCAACAATTTTTCATTGTTCCCTTTATCTTAAATACAACTGAACTCCCCTCTCTTCAGCCACATTAAGTGTTCCTATTATAAAATAGTCTGTGAATATCTATAAAAATTGCACTTATTATATATTTATGAATCCAACTGTCCCATATACAATAAAGGACTTTAGTAAAGTTGATTAGTTTAAGTTGTTGAGCTAAGACTGTAAGTGCCTTAAGGGAAATGATGCTGTATTAGACCTGTTAGTATTCCAAGCACAACACAGTGTAAAATACACAGTCAGAACTTTGCATATATCTGTTAGACAAATATACAAATGCAATATAAAATAATTTTGAAGTGACAGTAAAATATCTTCATTTAAATTTCTAATATCTTGATAAGGTGATAAAAAAAGTATGATAAATGATCACTATTGGGGAAAGCAGGAGTATGAAATGCCTGAGGGACACTCAGGTAAGTCATTTCAGAAGTATCCCTAGGTCAGACAGTATTTAATTTGATTGTTTAAAGAGGGGGAAAAGATACTGAAAATGCATTTGTATGCTTTTCTGTGATAACAAACAGCTTTAAAATCTCTGTGGTTAACAAATGCTTTATTTCTTATTCATATTTTTTTGTCTGCACCTGCAAATCAGTTGAAACTCTCCTCCTGATTTGCACATGGTGTCCAGGATAAAGGAGAATGTCCTATTTGGGACATGTTAGTTTTATGGCAGAGGAAAGAACAAGAGAGTGAGAGAAACGCGAAGTGTTTCTTTTCTTTCTTTCTTTTTCTATATTCTTTTAGAGACAAGGTCTCACCAAGTGGCCCAGGCTGATCTTGAATCCCTGGACTCAGGCAATCCTCTCGCCTCAGCCTCTCAAAGTGCTGGGATTACAGGCACGAGCCACTGTGCCCAGCTGTAATGTTTCTCGAAGCTCGCTTTCAGCTATGATATGTGTTATACTTGCATGTATGCCATTGGTCATAGCAAGTCACATGATCAGTTGGATAGGGAGGCATAATGCTTCATTGGAGGCACCATACTTTCCATGGCCATGACAGTGATGTATAACATTCTTGAAGGGAGGGTAAAAGCAATATATAGGTATTGAGAAATACATAAAGAAAGTCATCAAAGGATTTAAAAGAAAATTAAACAACCCTCAATATTTAGTATTGCTGGTATTAGAGAGGAATCTAACAAGGATATCATTCAACTAATTGTTGCAATAAAAGAGTATGAATTGGTAGGGTAGAAATGTGAGAGAAAAGTTTGCAAAGAGCAAACCATTGAATAAAGAACATAGCTTCTCACAGAGCCAAGATTTGACAGGGAAGCCATGCATGAGAAGAAATATTTGAATATTAAGGACAAAGGCACAGAATGAGAGTCAACTATTTAACTCAGCAAAGATAACATGGATAAAAGTAGGGCTTTTATTTACTGCTATTTTTTTGCAGCCTTAAATTTTTCACTAAAACATCTTCTAGAGGTTTTATAAGCAAGGCATAATAAGGAAATCTTTCAGAGAAGCTCAAAACTTAAAAGGAGCCAGTAAACAGGGCAAAAGTCAATACGACTGGAGGAGAATGATTTTTCTGGCTGAAGTCAAGGCAAAATGGGAGAGAAAAGCACAGGTTTCTGATGGCATTAGTCAATGCAATCCCTTGATAGTGTCCAACTACATCGTCCAGACGGAGAATCAATTGGTGGCTGATTTTGTAAACACTGTTATTTTGTAAAAAAGAGGTTCCAGGAATTTCAAGATATGAGCGTTTGTGACCATAAATGAAAAAATGTTACCAATTAAACATAGTTCAAGCAAAGGATTTCCGATTAGGATCTGTGGTTAATTCTGTTAGAAGAAAGTGGAATGTGGAGGAGTAAGATTTGCTTTTGGGTGGGTCAGCCTGACACAGACAAAACGAGGCATTATCTGCATGGCTGATAAGGGTGGCACAAAATAACACATTCTAGCATTTATCTTATGGTGTATAGTATATACTTAAATAAGTAAGTACAAAACACAAAACTAAAATATTCCAGTTAGGATGCAGACCATGATGAAATTAAGATTCAAACTTTGTTAATTGGCCATACATACTCATATGCAAATAATCCTTCCCTGTAATAAATGCAATCATAAGTTCACAAACACTCAAAGGCCAGCTAGTATGGAAAAAGATTAGAATATGCTATAAATAAATTAAACACAGTATTAAAGTAAAAATTACATTAGTAGAATGAATAATAAAGGATTACTATTCTTGTCAGATGATATTTCCTTTTAAATATCATACCTGAATTAGTATTTTAGTATAAAATATATAGTTACATACATATATGTATATATAAAACATGATAGTGAATACTTATATATTGATTTTTATAAATTTAACATTTTAAAAGAGCTTTACAAGTATAATTTATATTTTAATCTCCATTTTCATAAACAAATATTGAACATGAAGACTTGCTCAAGTGATGAAATATACTTTCATTTGCCACTTCTAATCCTTTTGGAAACAAAGTGTGGTAGACAGTTAAGTCAATAATTAAAAAACAAAAGAGCCACTTTATGGTATCTTTGTTTCCTCTGCATAATAAAAAGATAGGGGATGCATACAAATATAGATAGACACTTCCATCCTAGTATTTATGTCTATACTTCATGCGCTGAAATGTTAAATGTCAAACTCTCCACTGACTATTGCACCCTTAATAAATATTGGACACTGCATTCATAACAAGGTCACTGAAAAAAAAACTACATCTCTTGAGAACCTGGCTTTTCTGTGGCTGATATCTAGATTGCACACGGCCGAATGCTTACAGAAAGGGCCGCCACAAAAGGCTGTCTATGTCATGAAAGTTGCTTGAAGTTTGTCATAAAGGTAGTGGGAAGCAAGGAAAAATTATTACTATTGAGAGGTTTTCTGGAGAGGAAGGTGGAATGGTGAGATTAAGAGTATAGAAACAACATTGTATTAATTCAAGGAAAAAAATTAGGATGACATTTTCATGGAAAGCATGATAATAGAGAAAACAGTATGTTTGAGAGGTATTAAAAAGTACAATTTACATGTCTGGATAACAGATTAGATTACAAAATGGAGAAATCTTGGATAACTGTAATGTATCTGCTAATCTTACAGAATGTCAACTTAAATTAATATAGGGAGAGAAGTAAGTTGGGAGGAAGAGAGGTCATCATGATTTCAGGTTTCAATGTCCATTGGTACTTGGAAAGGTAACCTTACAAACTCAATTACTAAATTTGGGAGAAAGGGCAAATAGTGTAAAATAAACTAATTTAAGCAATGCGTATTTTTTTTGTAATTTAAAAACAAAAGTAAGCATGATTCGTTGCTATGTTTGTTTGACATTCTTTCAACTACAAATCCAGTAAGTAAAAGGCATTACTCCCAAATAACCTCTTTTAAAAAAAGGTTGTGAGGATGACAAATAAGTCATGGACCTGCCTTGAGGCTGTAATATAATGTAACAGATGCCATCATAAAGGTGGGGAGATTCCTTGCAGGCACAGAAGAGGTTTATTAGGAAGTCTTGTGTTTTGAGTTTACATGGTTGGCCATTTAATAAAAATATTGCTAAAATGAAGCAATAAACATGTACAAATAATGTATTGCTTACCATTAACAATAACAATGATATCACGGAAGTCAATTTCTCCCCTGGCCTCCACTCTTCCTTCACACCTGTATATACCTTCATCACTTTTATTGATGTTGAGAATCTGAAGGTTATTGTTTGCTAACATAGCGAACCGATCTGAAAAGTAAGCAAAGGGGAGAAAATGATATCAGTAATTGAAGGCTGAGTCCAGTGTGCTCTAAATTGCTAAGAGTTAAAATATGGCACTGTCTGACACTATCAAGCTTTTCATCAGCAAACAAATTCAAATTTGAAAGTAAAATGTAATTTCATGACTTCAATTTTTCCACTCTACACTGCTTTGTTACACCTTTTTTTTTTTTCCTGAAACACATTAAAGACTTTATATCCGCATAAAATGGTCAGGCTATTATTTTCCTCTTGGTACTTTGGAGGCAGAGATGATACACAAAAGAACAATGCAGAAAGATTAGATACTGTAGACATGAAAACTTTTGACTGCAAATATGTAGCAACTTGGGTTAGAAAATCTTTTGAACATCCTTTCTCATACAATAATTAAACTAATAGTTTTGCATACCCGGAGGAGGCAACTAAATAATACAATAGTATTCAAGTCACATAAAGGATATAACAAATGGTTATATCTTGAATTTATTTAAAGAATTTATTTTTTACTAACAGGATCATCTGTTCTAGGAATGAATAGAATAGACTTCATTAATTTCATTTCAAGGTTCCATTGCGTGTCTGTGCACACACATGCACAGATACCAAAACAAGTTGGTATAGCACCTGCATTACTGACTGCTTAACCTTAAACTAATCTGCTAAAGGCATCCAATATGCCCAAGCATCAGTTCAACCTAACATTACATTCTGTGTCTGACCTCAGTTTATAATCATCACAATTTGTTGCAGGGCTCCTCTTATTATTTAACGATAATGTTTTCAAATCTAGTGCTATTTTGAGACATGCTATACAGTCACTATCTGAAATTTCCTTTATTAGCACATCCATACATCTGATTGACCATCATCTATTTGCTTGATAATGTATGAGATATACTGATAAATAAGAGAGACACAGCTTATATTCCTTTGGGTTTTTTGGTCAAGTAGAACTGCCATTATTTTACGGTACCTAGCCTCTGGAATATCTACAGTTTACTGGTTACTCTTTGGACCTGTTCTAGTGTTTACTGCATTAGGGAAACAATTAAAGCCACATATTTGAAAGATAAAGCTTCGATCAGCCTCATCTCTAAATAGATACATAAGGTAGAATCCTGCCTCTACCCCCGCAGCCTATTGGATGTTGCATGAATGAAAAATAAACTGCTATGATAGAAAGGCCACTCAGATTTGGGGATTAATTTGACATGGCAATTCCTTAATGAGAGGGAAGAAGTTTGAACTAGAAATAACAAATAGGGGAGTAATCAGACTATAGACAAGTCAGTAAAACAAATGGTTGCTTTTTGTCTAAGAGAGAAGTAATAGGGAGTGGAAATGCATAGATTCAGAGGCTCCCTCAGAGAGAAAACACTGAGTTGAAGCTACAGCCACATGATTTGCTTCCCACAAGGTATAAACTTTTCCATGATGTTTATTTCTTCTTTTGTTGGATGCTAAGAAGAGAGACAAGAATGTTGAGGCAGATTATTTCTCCTGACAAATTAAAACACAAACACAAATTTTTCTCATCAAAGGAAATATTGGGGAGAAAGAAAAACAATTCCCCAGAAATGTTATGGTTTAAGTCACAAGTAATACGGAAATTATTCACAAGTCCTGACAATTCATAGTTTCAAAGTTAATTAAATTGTGTTGCCAGAAATTAAAATGAGAAGCAATTATAAGTAAATAAAAGTAAATAAGTAAATAAAATTCAAAATCAGGAAGAACACCCTTACCCATACTTAGATCATCATAATACTGCATATTCTAACTTGCTAAATATATATCATTCTTGAATTGTAATGTGCCTTAGTGGTTATATTTTATTTGAATTAGAAAAAATAGTCAGGTGAGCATTATTTTTTTCACAAAGGCAATGTTTATATAAAAGAGAAAGGATTTAAATCATATAATATATATTTCTGATGAAAATAAAACAGCTTTTTTCAAATTAAAAAATTTAGTTTCAAATGGTCATATAACTTCATTATTTCTACTAAAAAACTGTTAGAACTTTAGGAAAATCATAATTATATGCTAATTCTAAATAATATATTGGAAGTCAATTTCATGCTGTTATATATGTTTATGTGTATAAAATATTTTCCACAGAAAAACATGTGAAAATTGTGTGTCACATTCCCAATTTGTGTTTAAAGCCCTGAGATTGTTGTTACCAAACTATCAAAACCAAGCACATTATTAATGTGTTTCCAGAAAACATGTGAAGAAAGCACTGCTTCAATCAATCACACATAATTATGGACATTAAAAATTAGCTAATACAGAATATCAGCTTTTCTTAGTTATACAGAAACCTAACTTTCATTATCCAAGTTAGATAAATAAATGAGATCAAATAATACCCAATAAGGTGTCGGATTTATAATTTTTACACTTAGTTATTTCTAATTCTTTTTTTTTTCATTCTACATCCACGCAACGCTTTATCTTTACCTTAAAGGCTTCAATATTATCTGTATCTTGTTGATTCACAGTTTTTCTTCAGACCATATCATTCCTGTGAGTTCCACAGCTATTTAATAGCCTACCAGTTGTACCTTCTTAAAAGCGTTGTATCTCAAGCTCAGCATGTGTACATTTTAGCTCAGTATTCCCTCCTAAATTTCTCATCTAGCATTCTCCAGTTTTGTCTGCCCTTGCATTTCAATGCCTTTACATGGAACTAGTTGCCCAAAAGAAAATTTCCTATATGATGGAAGGCTTTGTGCAAGGTGAATTCTATGAGTCATTGTTGACATCATCTCCCTCAGTCTGCAGACCCAATCAAACTTCATGTCTTATCACATCTACTGTAATTATTTAATCTAAATCTGCTTCTCCCTCAGCAATTATTTCATTAGGATCTGAACTGTTCTCAGTGTCTGGAGTTTTGCCTTGACTCAAATCCAATTCGTTCACTTCAATAACATACTCATATCCTTCTCAAATACGTATTAGGTCATGTCACTGTCTTGATGAAAACCCTCCAATAGCACCTCCTTTGAATGGATTCCAACCTCCTTAGCAGATGCCTAAGGACATGTTGACTTGGCTTGATTTCCCTCTCCAGCTTTTGTTCTTAATATTTATTTACTAAAATGTTCTGGCTACATTTATTAATTTGTATAAATATTTAAGTTGTACTTATTAGTAATCTCTAGTTAAAATAAATGTATTCCAAATCTTTGAATGTGCTTTCCATGCTGTCTTTCACCTCTAGACCATTATACATGACGGGTTCTCTTCCTGAAAAGACTTTACCATTCTTTGCATAGCTAATCTGTTTATATTTAAAGGTAACTTGGCCAGGTAGAATAGTTCATGCCAGCACCTTGGGAGGCTAAGGTGGAAGGATTATTTGAGGCCAGACATTTTAGAGCATATATTCAAAGAAAATTTAAAACAATTAACTGATTGTTTTGGTACATGCCTGCAGTCCCAGTTACTTGGGAGGCTGAGGTGGGAGGATCACTTAAGTCCAGGTGGTCTAGCTTGCAGGAAGCCAAGATCAAACCACTGCATTCCAGTCTGGCAAATCTTATCTTGTGGGGTAAGGGAGTAACTTTTTCCTCCTGACAGGGATTTTTGATACCCTCACTTGCCCTACATTTTTTTTTTTTTTTTTGCCCCCCTATCAGTTTCTATTACTGTGCTTTCCTTATCCTGGGCACAATAAATCTTATTTTCTCTAGAGGCTATATAGTAGTTTTCAATAACTTTTTAATAAATCTTGTATGCTAGAAGTATATTATATAAAAATTGGAAGGAATAAGATGATTTTAACCATAGCTTTTGATGTAGAAAGAGTATATCAAATAGGCGGTGACCAAAGAATTTACAAAGTTTAAAAAAGACTTTTGAAACTGACCAGGGTAGAATTGGCATCAATAAATAGCACATACCTCCATCAGGAAGGCATTAAAAGTTACCATATTCAACTTTTATAACAAAATGTCACTTTAACCCCTCACTGTTTGGATTTCCTATCTTTTTTTTTTTGAGTTGGAGTCTCACTCTGTCGCCCAGACTGGAGTGCAGTGGCCGCTCCCGGTCACCGCAGCCTCGACCGACTGGGCTCCGGCGATCCTTCCGCCTCCGCCTTTCTAGTAGCTGGAACTACAGGCGCGCGCTACCACGCCCGGCTAATTTTTTATTTATTGTAGAGATGAGGTCTCGCCAAGTTGCCCAGGCGGGTCTCGAACCCGCGTGCTCAGGCAATCCACTCACCTCAGCCTCCCAAGGCGCGGGGTTACAGGCTGAGCCACCGAGCCTGGCTTGGATTTCCTTTCAACGAGTAGAATAGAAAATTTCTGTTCTGCAAAACACTTAATTCTCAATATGTGCCACATAGCTATGATCAAAAGGCATAGCTACTAAGATGAACATCTCTAAACCTTCAAAATTTCCCTCTGGAGCATCTAAACTTAACATCTGTACCACATTAAAGCAACAGAAAGCTATCTGGATCCACAACACTGTTCTCAATCTCTCTATCTAATGCTTTCATAGTTATATGCCTAATCTTATTCCACTAGCTTTAATAAAATGATCATATGAGGTATAATCAGATGAAGAATATTACTACTTCTTCTAAATCCATTATAAATGCACAAATTGCTTAATGTGGCAAGTTCCTGAAATATTACGAAGTTAGAAAAATGTGTCCTTTCTCACAACTTATTTAAATACTTTAAAACCTTTAGGAAAAATAATACTGTTGTATTTATTTACTTTGTTTGCCTGCCATGCAATCAGTGTTATGTTTTTCATATTAAATTATAGTCGTTTCTCCTAAAATAGATTTTCTGCTTCTAGATATAACCTAAATGTAAATGATTTTGGTAAAACTGTTTCCAAGATTTAAAAACTCAATGGAAATGAATGAGAATGATAAATGTCATTTATTGAGAACCTGACATAGCCTACTATTTCATTAATTGATTTAAGAAATAAAGTTCAGTCTGCCCTTTGTA